CGCCCTGGCCGGCAGCCCCGCCCCCGACAGGGGTTGTGGGAAGCTGGGGGAGGGGACGCCTGGGCCCTTTGTTCTGGCTCTCCAGATGGCCCCGAGCCCCTGTCCCCCATCCTGTGGTTCTGCGGACGCCCCTGCCCTCTAGCCTGTGGTTCTGTGGGTGCCCCTGTCCGCCAGCCTGTAGTTCTGTGGCTCATCTGCATCCGTTTCGGCCCCAATCTCTGCTCCTGTCTCACTGGGTCACTGCTCCCGCCCCTCGCCTTCTCTTCTCCCTCTCTCTGGATTCTTGCCCCCCATCTGTGTCATGCCCCTCCTCCTTTTCTAGCAGCTGCTGCTGGCTTCCTAACACCTGTTCCTAGGGGTGGGACTGGGAGCTTTCACCCACACTCTGCTTCCCAGCAACTAACCCGACTCCTGTGTTCTTTGAACTGGTAACCCACACTCAGAGTTTCAGCCCTCATGGCCCTAGGCATTATTTGGGAGTATTTAGGCTTCATCACAGTTCAAACTTCTCTGTAAACTGAGGGGAGGACAACCTATACTACTCCAGAAATCCATCTCCTTTCTCCTCTAAGACCCATGGGTCCAGGCCTCAGCCCTTTCCCTCAGAGCCCCTGTCCTCCTCCCTGATCCATGGGTCCAGGCACCAGCCCTCCTCCCTCAGAACCAGGGGCCGGGCCCAGCTCCTCTCTCAGACCCGGGGGTCCAGGCCCAGCCTCCTCCCTCAGACCCAGGGTCCAGGCCCAGCCTCCTCCTTCATACCCAGGGCTTCAGGCCCCAGTCCCTCTCCATGGGTCAGGGAAGCTCGCTGAGCTCTATGTTCCTCCAGGCCCAGATGGGGGAACCCCGGGCTGGGGTCCCCCTGGAGGATGGCAGCGGCTGGACTGGCAGTGAGGAAGGCAGTGAGGAGGGCACGGGCGGCAGCGAGGGGGCTGGGGGCGATGGCGGCCCAGATGCAGAGGGTGTCTGGAGTCCCGACATTGAGCAGAGCTTCCAGGAGGCACTGGCCATCTACCCACCCTGTGGCCGCCGGAAAATCATCCTGTCCGATGAAGGCAAGATGTATGGTGAGCTCACCCCTCTCTTGTCCTGACCCCACTGTGTAATAACGATCCCCAGGAGCTAGCATCACTGTTGACACAGATGAGGAAACTAAGGCACGGGAAGGTTAAGGGGTTTGCCTAAGGTCACAGAGCTAGTACGTGGCAGGGCTAGGGTTTGCCCACAGGCATCTGGCCCCATAAGCCTGAGGAGCCCGGGAGCCCTTGGGAGATGCCAATCTTTTCTCCGCTGATGTCCTCGTAGGGAAGTTCCGCTGGCCATCTAACTCTGGTGTTTACTCTTCAGGTCGGAATGAACTGATTGCCCGCTACATCAAGCTCAGAACTGGGAAGACTCGGACTCGGAAACAGGTCTCGTGACTGGCTTCCCACTTCCGGACATCTTCCTGTGGGCTGCCCGGTCAAGAAGGGTCTGGTTCATGGGCTTTTTGCCTAGCGTCTTGGTGTGCCTGCTAGTGTGATTGCACTCCCTATTTGGGGGCAGTTTCTGTAGCTGTTGTGTCAGAAGTAGAGTTGGAGACCAAGAGAACTGAAGAGGGGAGGAGGATGAGGATGGGACAGCAGGCCTGGGTTACTGGGTCAGGGTGATGGAGGAGGTAGCTCGTTCCCGGGAAGGGCCCAGCCTGCTTGTCCTGCCTTCGCTACCCTTCCTGTGGGCCCTGGGGGGAGGGAAGGGGAGCGATGCAGGGGCGGGTGGCTGTGGCTCCAATTTGCTTCTCCATCCACCCCCGCAGGTCTCTAGTCACATCCAGGTTTTGGCTCGAAGGAAATCGAGAGAAATCCAATCCAAGCTAAAGGTGAGGACGGAGGCAGACAGAGACCCAGAGAGGGACGCAGAGTCCAGAGAGAAAGAGACAGAGGGAGAGGGAGGGAGAGGCGGGAGACCTGGGAGTGGAGAGCAGAGATCTGGAGAACTGAGTGTCCCGGACTCAGAGATGAGGCTCTGGGGTAGGGTGCTGAGACCCTGCGTGGGGAGAGCTGCAGCGTGGGATGAGGCTGGGTCAGGACAGGTGAAGAGGGGTTGTCAAGCCGCTCTCTTGGCTGCTGTCCTCATCCCCCTCCCTTTCCTCTGCCCCTGTCCCTTCCCAGTGGTCTCATTTTCTCCCCCTGGTGCTCTTAGGACCCCCCTCCGCCATCCCCTCTGGTTTATTGTCCCATTTCCCAGCCCCCCATGTGACCCAGCTATTCTTCTTGTACTCAGAAACCCTCATTTCCTGTTGAAGATTTTCATACTCACTTTCTTTTCTTTATCCTCTGGATTTCTTGCTCCTTCTTGGCCCGAGACCCTCATTTTCTACCCTTCTAGATGTGAGGTCTTTTCTGCCTCCTCTTTAGGCCTTGGGGAAACCTGCTTCCTGTTCTTTATTTGTGCCTGGAAGCTTTCCTTCCTTTCTCTCTAGTCTAAAAGCCTTCACTTCCGGTCTTTTCTATACCTTTTCTGTTCCCTTCTGTTTTGTCTGGATTAGGAAACATTCACCTCCTATTCCCTTGAGGTCTAAAATTCTCATTTCCTGTTGCCCGGGCATCTGGAAACCTTTACTTCCAGCCCTTTCTTGACCTAGAAATTCTCGTTACTGTCAATTCATTTGGGCTTGGAAACCCTTTTCCCCTAGCTCTGGCCACCTCTGTTCTGTTCTTATCCATCTCTCGCTCCCTCTTCAGCCCCTTTTGCGGAGCTCAGGGTGGCGGGCCCTGCGGACTGGTAGGGCGGGAAGTCAGGGAGTCCAGCCTTCGCTTCCTAAGTCATGTTTTCTTTCCTCCCTTGGCACCTTCCCCCGCCCCTCTGGCAGGCCCTGAATGTGGTAAGTCCCCCTGCCCCTGCTCCCACCCACTCTGACCCGGCGGCCGCCCCTCCCTCAGGAGACCAGGAGGGGCAGAGGGCTCTAGGGAGAGGACGTGCAACCCTCTGCCCACCCTTTGCCTGGACTCCCCAAGTCTTCCCCCATCCTTGCTGCACCCATTCGTGGTCCCGCCCTTGCTGTGTGGACTGGGACACCCCACTCACACCGATCCCCAACTTCCCCAGGACCAGGTTTCCAAGGACAAGGCTTTCCAGACGATGGCTACCATGTCCTCTGCCCAGCTCATCTCCGCACCTTCCCTGCAGGCCAAACTGGGTCCTGCTGGTCCTCAGGTGCCTGGGTTGGGGATTGTGGGGCTCGGGACTGGAGGGATGGGGCTGTGGCTGCCAACAGGGGCCAATTAATCCCTGTTTCTCCGTCTCCTCTCTAGGCCACTGAGCTGTTCCAGTTTTGGTCAGGGGGCTCTGGGCCCCCCTGGAATGTGCCAGAGTGAGTAGTACGTTGTGTTTCAGCTCAATTCTTGCTCTCCAATCCTCCGCTTTTCTTACCCTGCCGTCCAGCTCCCAGCTGTCTTTTGAACGTGGATTTAACCAGGCTATCTGGATTTGAATCCTAGCCCTGACGTTTATAGCCTCAGTTTTCACATCTCTGAAATGGGGCTAATAATACTACATTCCTTCCTCCCTCTGTTCCTCATCTTCTTCCTCCCCTCCTCCCCTCTTCCTTTGCCTCTTCTCCCCTTCCTCCTCCTCCTTCTTTAAACTTGCTGAGATACTCCTGTGTCAGCATTCCAAGGGCTGGGACTACAGGTGTGTGCCACCACGCTGGGCAACACCACCTTTCTCTCAGGGTTATCACTGGCGTAAATAACATGTACATGATTAGGCTAGGACTAGTCCTGTGCCGGCTAGTAAGGCAGAGGAGGGGAGGGAAGTCCTGCTGGGGAGGGATGGATCCTGGGCTCTGCCTAGGAACTAGAGTTGGGCCCATTGGAGCTGTACAGTCTGCAAGAGGAGATTTGGGAAGTAATGAGCTCCATGTGGAACTTCTGCATGAGAAGGGCCCAGAGGATGTCCACAGGAATAATGGCCCCTGCTGGGACTATTGGCCCCAGAGGCTTGTGGGAAGGTAGTTGTAAGTCCAGAGACTCTTGGGAGAAGGGGGGAGCCCCAGAGGCTCATGGGAAGGCTCATTTTCATCCCTCTGATATCAAGCTGGGGCCTAAGAATAAAGGAAGAGTTATCTTCTTTCAGACTGGGGAGAAAGTGGGCCTCAGGTACATGAGAGGGCCCTTCTCAGCTCTGTCACCTAAGTGTGACAGGATGTATCAATGGGGCAAGCAGATACTAATGAAATCATCCCCTGCTAAACAGGTTGAAGAATGAGTGAATGACAAGTAAAGCATTGCGAAGAACGACAGCAAGGGTTCTAGGATTCTAGGGGCCTCTTTGAAGAGGTAGCATTGAAGGCCGAGGAGGATTTAGCCAGGTCAAGAATAGAATAGCGGCTAGCGCTGAGAAAACAGCATGTGACAAGGCCTTGAGGCGGGAGAGCTTGGGACGTTCCAGGAGTTGGTGTCAAAGACAGACGGTACAAAGCAGCTGGCCAGTCAGATACTTACTGAGCACCTGCTAAGGGCCTGGTACTGTGGACGTGGCATGAGCATCCCTGACTCCAGGGAGCTGTACGTACTTGGGGAGGGGAGGAGACAGATGGCACCCTTGTAAACGAAAAGAATTCATAAGGAAAGGAATAAACATGAGAAATAAAGCAAGGCCTGTGAGGGATTGAACCCAGAGCCTTCACACTGAGCTACACCCCCAGACTTTAAAAAATGTTTTATTTTGAGACAGGGTCTCACTCACTCACTAAGTTGAACTGGGTTTGAATTTAGGATCTTCCTACCACAGTCTACTAGAGTGCTGGGAATACAAACCGGCACCATCACATCCAGTTAAATTTTGTTTTATTATGCTTGACTTTTGTGGTGCTGGGGGTCCAACTCCAGGCTTTGTGCATGTTGGGTAAGTGCTATACCAGACCTAAGAGCTCTATTTTCTTCTTCTTTTTTTAATTACAAAAATTTTTTTTGAGATAGTCTTACTGTGTAGTTCAGCCTGGCTTTGAACTCACTGTGCAATCCCGGCTGGCCTTGAACGCACTTAATCCTCTTGCCTCAGCCTCCCAAGGGCTAGGATTATAGGCGTGCACCACCACGCCTGGCTCAAGAGCTCTGTTTTAGACATGGTCACAAAAGACCCTTCTGGAGAGGTCTGATGGCCCTGATGACAGATGATTGTGTCACTGAACAGAATCTTGGAGTTCAGTTTTCAGAATTGAGGTGACAAGCACTGGGGCAGAGTCCTTGGAAATCAGGATTTGGAGCTTCCTGGAGTCTTTCTGGTCCCCATCTTTTGACCCTTGACCTCTTTCCTAACCTCTGACCTCAGAGTCCTCTTGCTGCCAACTCCTAGACCTCTGGAGTTGTGTTGGTAACCATTAGCCACAAGTAGCTATTTTCTTTTTTTTCTTTTCGGTATGAGGATTGAGCTCAGGTCCTTGTGCTTTCGAGGCAGTCACCAGAACCACTGAGCTAAATCCCTGGCCCCACAAGTAGCTATTTCCATTGAAATTGGTTGAAATTAAGTAAAATGTCAAACTCAGCTCCTAGTGCTTGGAAGCCACGTATGCACAGTGGCTTCTGGGTTGGGCAGTCCAGCTGCAGGACAGTCCATCAGATCATATAGGAAGTTCTTTTGGACAGCACCACCTCCCACCCCTACCTTTGTCGATGTCTCAGCTTGTGACCACTGGTTATTTTCTTCCGACCCTGCTGACCCTTTAGCCTCTGCTATCTCTAATTTCCCCATCTTCTGTGTCTTCTCTGTACCTCCCCAGACTTGCTAAATGCCACTATTGCATGCCTGTAATCCACGCTCTCTGGGAGGCTGAGGCAGGAGGATCTCAAGTTTCATCCCAGCATGGGCAATTTAGCAATATCCTGTCTCAAGATAAAAAGTGGAAACTGGGGCTTGGAAAGCAGTTCCATGCAAAGGCATTGGGTTCAATTCCAAATACTGCAAAAACAGACAAAAACATGAGCTTCATGATTGGGATTGACCTGGGTTCAAATCCGGTCTCCACTGCATGCCAGCGGTGTGACTTTGGGTAGATTAGCTGACCCTTCTCATGTGTAAAACGAGAAGCACAGTAATTGCGCCTCATCGGCTTCAGTAAGATGCCTCACGCATGTCGTGTTGCAGCACGTGGTCGGGCCTGTCACAGCCTCCAGGGACCTCAGTGCTGTTGGCCCTGCTGACCTTGGCTTCCTTCCTCCCACAGCGTGAAGCCGTTCTCACAGACACAGTTCTTGTCACTGACACCCCCATCTGCTGACCTCCCAGGTAAGGGCCTGCTCCGCTCCCCTGCTCACCTCCCCTTTCTTCCCCCTCCCATTCGTCAGAGGACTCAACTTCCTGAGGCAGGTTGTGGTGGGGCAGGGCGTGTGTGACAGAGTTTGTGGTGGGTAAGAGCGTGGCTTCCGTAGCCACACATCCTGGGTTTGTGTTCTGCCACTTGCTAGCTTATGAGACAATGGGGAAGTGGATTAGTCAAGAGTCTTTCAGCCACAAGTGATAGAAACTCAGATCGAGCTCGCTGAAGGGGGGAAAAGGAATTTCTTAGTTCAAATAACTGAGAGTCCAGAATTACGGCTTCAGCCGTGGCTAGTTCCAGGGTCCCAGTAGAAGCACCGGGACTTGTTTCCCTTTGCTTTTCTCTGTGGTGGTTTTTATTCCCAGGCAGAGTGCCCCCCTGTCAGCTCAGATGGTTTCCGGAGGACCATAATAAGCCTCTAGTTCTGTCAGGTTCCACAGATTCATCAGTAAGGAACACCTCAGGCTGCAAGTAACAGAACACTCAAATTAATAGTGCCTTAAATAGGCCTTAATGGTGCGACATAACACAACGTCCGGAGGTGGGTTGCTCTTGAACTGGCCCAAAAACTCAGCAATATCAGGACTGGCATCTCTGCAGTTCCCTTAGCCTCTATCTTATTGTGCCAGAATGCTGCTGTGACTCCAGGCATCATGTCCTAAGCAGGACTTGGCCAGGGCCAAAAGCTTTCTCCTCCCAAAGTTCTGTCTTTTTCATTCAGGAAGAAACTCCTTCCCAGAAGCCCCCCAGCAGATTTTCCCTAACGTCTCATTGGCCAGGACTGTGTCACATGGCCACCTCTAGCTGCATGGGAGGCTGGGAAAGTGAGTATTTAGCTTTTTCAGCTTCCAAGTGGAGGCAGGCAAGAGAGAACAGTGCCTAGTGCAGTCAGTAAATGTTAGCAAATGTTATTATTCTTTCTTTTCTCTAGGGTACGAGCCCCCCCAAGCCCTCTCTCCCCTGCCCCCACCTGCCCCATCACCACCAGCCTGGCAGACTCGGGCCCTGGGCACTGCCCGGTTGCAGCTGGTGGAGTTCTCCGCCTTTGTGGAACCGCCAGATGCAGTTGACTCTGTGAGTGAAAATTCGGGAGGTCTTTGGAAGGTAGAAGGGGAGGGGGAAAGTGTCGAAATCATCTGCAGTCCTTGTTAATGTCCACTGCTGGCCCCAGAATTTCAGATTCGCTAGATCTGTTGGGAGAGTGGGGATTGAATTCACATTTCCATTATCCTCAGCTGTCGTTGATGTAACTGATCTGGGAAACCATGCTTTGAGAACCATTAGCATCAAGGAATGGAAGGTTGTGAAGTGAAAAGTTGGGAAGGTCAGGGAACCTCCCCAGGACTTTGTTCACTTGTTCATTCATCAGACACATTTGAGATCCCCCTGTCTGATAGGCTTTGTGATGCTCACTAGGAACCTAGGAAAGCAGATCTTATTCCTGAGCTTGGGTTTCTCCTGGGCTAGAATGCTTGCTGTACTAATTGGGAAGATTATTAGAAGAAACAGCTGCCAACTTCAGGAACTGAACAGAAGTTTCCTGCTCATGTAACGTGTCAGTATGGGTGTTCTGAAGGAGCCTTCCGTGCAGTGATTCAGGGCTCCAGGCCCCTTCCATTTTGTGGTTTGCTGTTCTCTAGGGCTTGGGAATCTGCTGCTGGATTCCTACATCTGGCCAGCAGATGGGAAAGGAAAGAGGCAAGATTGTGCAGGAGGTTTTATGAGTCTGGTTGGAACGTGGCAACTGGCTGGTCTGCTCACCTTCCGTTGACCAGGACTGAGTCATATGGTCGAAGCCCCAACTGCAAAGGGGCCTGGGAAATGTAGTTTAGCACTATGTAAGGGAACCGACTCTGTGCCATGCATATAAATACCAATCAAGTCACCAGTGCTGTAAAACTCAAGTTGGATTAGGTTAAAGCCTTCCCACGTGTAGCACAAGCTAAAATCCTTTCATTTGCCCCCTAAGATCTACAGTCTGACCCCTATTCCTGCCTCTCTCCCTGCTCACTCTATTCAGATACCACAGCCTCCTTTCTCTTTCTCAAACACACCAGGCCCACTCTTGCCTCAGGGCTCTTGCACCTGCCATTCCACTGCCCGGAATGTGCTTTGCCTGGATCCTGCTGTGTGACTGACTCGATCTCCAAATTCGTTCAGGTCTTTACTCAGTTATTCTCTCTACTCTATGCTTTCTCACATCACCTGATGAAAGATGTCCGGTGCCACCACTTGGGATCCCTTTACTGCACTTTACTGTGATCTTACCCCAGTATGCACCCCTCTCTGAAGTTTACGTTATCCACCCAGTTTTCTTTCTGTGCCAGTGGACTGTGAAGCCCATGAGGTCAGGGACTTTGTCGTGGTTGGATGATGAGCGCTGCAAGGATGGGGAACGTCAAGTTTTTGTGCATGTGCAGAGGAGTAATTCACCCTGGGGTGTCAAGGAAGGCTTCCCTGAGACGACAGACTTTGAGTTGGGCTTTGAGGGCTGTGTAGGGGTTTGTCATATGCAAGGCTGGATGTTCTAGAATACAGATGGGCAAAGCATGGAGTTTTTAGGAAAACAAACAGTAGAGCTGGTGAGCCTACAGAGTGGTGGGCAGGTGCTGGTTCAGGGGAAGCTGGCTTCATCAAGCTGAGGGACACAGACTTTTCCTGAGGTGGTTGAGGAACTGGGGAAAGGAAGGATGTGAGTAGAGAGACCCTTCCTATCTGATCACCATCAAGAGAGGCCTCCAGGAAGCTGGGTGTGGTGGTACATGCCTGTAATCCCAGCGCTTGGGAGGCTGAGGCAGGAGGATTGCTGTGAGTCCAAGACCAGCCGGGGCTACGTAAAGAGTTCCAGGTCAGTCTCAGCTACATAGTGAAACCCTGACTCAAAAAAAAAAAAGAAAAAGAGAGAGGCCTCCAGGAACATGTGGCTTTGGATTAAGTTGGGTCTAGAAAGATGGAGAGAAGATTTGTGTTGGAGGAGAAGTTGGGCAGGATTTTCCGGACATGGAGGAAGTTGAGAGAAGTCATGAGAATGGAGACAGAGTCTCACGTGTCGCTGAATAGATTCCCATTTAGCCTCCAACTGAACATTCACCGTCCCTGCTTCCATCCAGGGCCAGGATGAGTAGTTATGGGGCGTGTCCATGGGCACTGGGGAGCCATGGCAGGTGTGTGAGCCAAAGAGGGCCACAGACAGCTCTAAGGCTAGAGGCTGAGGGTGGGAAAGAATGAGGCCCAAATGGGGAAGGGGGGACAGAGAAGAGGGGACGGGGTGAGAGTCAGGGACCAAGTGGGTGGGGTGTATGAGGACCGGTGGGCAGTGTAGGGCGGGTGCCCACAGGGGGGTCGCTGTCCACCCGCCCCCTCCTCATGTGGCTGGCCCTCCTCAGTACCAGAGGCACCTGTTCGTCCACATCAGCCAGCACTGTCCCAGCCCTGGTGCGCCCCCCCTGGAGAGCGTGGACGTCCGGCAGATCTACGACAAATTCCCCGAGAAAAAGGGAGGTCTGCGGGAGCTGTATGATCGCGGGCCCCCCCATGCTTTCTTCCTGGTCAAGTTCTGGGTAAGTTGTGGCGGGGAAGCGGAAAGTGCTCATAAGCCGTGTGGCATTCCAGCTAAGCATCTGGCTGTGAGGGATTTGGTCTTGGGACTACGAGGGCAACCTGGGTCTTACTGTCCGTCCTCATGGCTCTGAGACCCCTTGCAAGAAGGGACACGGGATCTGGCCCCCAGGGTATCCAGGACGGAGGTACTGGGGTGTCCCAGAGCCCACTCGACTTTGCCACTCTAGTCATGTGACCCTGGGATTGGCTTGCCATGTTTCAGACATGCACAGGCCTCGCCTGACCACATCTAATCTTATTGCTAAGGAAAAGTCTCCCCTTCCCCACCTGTTTCTGGTGCAAGGCATTGAACCCAGACCCTTTGAACTGAGCTATAGCCCCAGGCCTTTTTTAAATTTTGATACAGGTCCTCGCTAACTTGCTAAGTTGCCCTGGCTGGGCTTGAACCTGTGATCCTCCTACCACAGCCTCCCAGAATGCTGAGAAAGTAGGCATCTGCCCCCAGGCCTGGTGGTTCTGGTTTCTAAAAAGATGGCTGAGGTTTTGTTAACTTTCCACCAGATAATGTCTGACCCTGACGTGATTAAAAGGGCTGGCTTTGTAGAAGCCTGTATTTAACATTCACTGAGCAATTTCTATACACAGGCCTGATACCAGGTACTGTTTAGCTCTTTGTGGGTTTCACATCATAGATTTGGCACCCTTAGATGGAGAATGTAGTTCGGTTCACAATGGTTGCATCTGTATTGAATGTGTTATAGGCTTTTTTTTTTTCTTTTAGTCTTTCTTCCCTGAATGATACAGTATAACAACTATAAATATAGCATTTACATTGTATTCAGTGTTGTAAGGCTTCTAGAGTTGACTTAAAGTATACAGGAGGGCCAAGCATGCTAGTTCATGCTTATAATTCCAAGCACTTGGGAGGCTGAGGCAGGAGGATTTCTGTGAGTTCAAGGCTAGTCTGGGCTACATAGTGAGTTCATGGTCAGCCTGAACTACACAGCAAGACCCTGTCTCAAAAAAACCAAGCCAAACACAAACCTCAAAAAGTATACAGGAGGATGTGTGCAGGTTCTATGCCAATACTATGCCATTTTATATAAGGGACTTGAGCATTTATGGATCTTGGGACCATGGGGAATCCTGGTACCAGTGCTGAGGGACAACTGTGTATAATTGTGACAGAGTGGGTCCGTTTCCCAGTTAAATTTTTCTGTTGGAGACAAGATCTCACTGTGTATTTCAGGCTGGCCTTGAATTCACTATGTAGCTTAAGCTGGCTTTGAACTCATGGCGATCCTCCTGTCTCAGCCTCCCGAGTGCTGGTGTTGTTGGATAGTTCCTTTAGAAATGGCAAAGCAAACGAAAGTATCCCAGGTCCTTCTTGTCTTAAAGAATTGGACGAGATGAGCCGAAAATAGAGCCAAAAGTTTATTTGAAATTGAGAGGTGAAGGGGTAGGGGAAGAACTACCTCTGCAAGCTTAGGCCAAAGAGAAAAGGATAAAAGTAACAACAGAGAAACACCCTGGTCTAGGAGACACAGGGTGGGCTATAGTGAGGAGTCGTGAGAAGTTGTAGTAAGGGGGGCCTGAGAGTTATCTGGCCCCGCCTTGGGACCCTGAAATTTACGGGTCCTGCGATTTCCCCAGACACTGTGCCACCCCTACCTCCTATATCACTGGGCTCACAGGTGTGTGCCCCCCACTCAACTTAGTTTAGGTTTTTCTTGAGCTTGTTTGTTTTGGGGTCCAGAACAGTCACAGATGCTATAGGGACTCGACCGTTGCTGAGTGAACGTTCAGGGGTTTGGTCCTGTGGTGACCAGCGTGAGACTGGAACGGCACTGGTCATGCCGGGCATGAAGGACCGTCGTTGTGAAGCCACCATGAAAGAGTGGCTTGAGATGGTGCTGGGCATGTGCTGCCCAGGTCTCGGGCATGGTAAGGGCTTAAGACAGGTCCCCCAGCTCACAGGTCTGGATGCCACCCCTCAGGAGAGCCGGCTTCTGCCATTCAGGGGGTGCCTTGGGCTGTGCAGCCCAGCTGGAGGATGGAGGCAGGCCTCTGAGGGGCGTCAGGGCAGCCAGGATGAGGGAGTGGCCCCTGACCCCCAAGGAGGTGGCTCAGACCCAAGATGTAATGCAGTCTAAGGCTGCACTGGCCCCGCTTGGACTAATGACTCGGGCCAATTGTCTGTGCACTTGTGCCATGGGGCGGTGGAAGGGCTCTCAGCTGAGCATCAGTTGAAAAGGCTGGAGAGAGTTCTGAGCAGTCCTGACCTGTTGCCTCAGCAATCAGGGTGGCAAGAGGAGGTGATTGGGCCTTAGCTGGTTGCTAGAGGTAACTGCGTCCTTAGTAACCAGACCTTGGCAGAGGATGAACTCGAGTTGGGAGCTTCAGGGGGAAGAAGTTGATTTCCGGGTTCTCTTGGTTACTAGGGACAGAAGGTCAGGACCTTTTTGAGGGCCCAGACTTCTCCACCCTGATGGCAAGGGTGGGTCTTCTCCAAAAACAGCTTCTGGAGAGGTGGGAAGTTTGAAAGCTGAGAATGGGCAGCTGCCAGGGCAGTGGGAGGAAGCAGGCTCTGGGTGAGTTTCTTTCTTTCTTTCTTTTTTTTTTTTTTTTTTTTTTTTTTTTTTTTTTTTTTTTTTTTTTCTTCTCCTTTTCTCGGTACGGGGATCGAACTCAGGACCTCCTGCTGGGGAGGCAGGTGCGGTGCCACTGAGCTAAATCCCTGGCCCTGGGCGGAGTCTAACACTGTCTGCTCCACCTGTCCTGTGCCTACCCATCTCACAGGCTGACCTGAACTGGGGCCCGAGTGGTGAGGAGGCAGGCGCTGGCGGTGGCAGCGGTGGCAGCGGTGGCTTCTATGGAGTGAGCAGCCAGTACGAGAGTCTGGAGCACATGACCCTCACTTGCTCCTCCAAGGTCTGCTCCTTCGGCAAGCAGGTGGTGGAGAAGGTGGAGGTGAGGCTGGAGGCCAGAAGCCACGATTGTGCGGGCATTTGGGGTGTAGCTGGTGGGAGGGTCTCAGCCTGTCTTGGGGTTTCGTGTATGGGCTTGGGGGATATACATTCAGAAGTCAGAAGGGACCACTTTGAGAGTTGAAAGGTGCAGAGACTAAACCGGGTGTGGTGGCTCATGCCTGTAATCCCAGCACTCAGCAGGTGTTGAGTTGAAGGGCAGCCTGGACTCCACAGTGAGTTCAAGGCCCACCTGAACTACATAGCGAGACGTGATCTCAAAAACCAAAAGAGAGGCCGGGCGTGGTGGGGCATACCTGTAATCCCAGCACTTGGGAAGCTGAGGCAGGAGGATCGCTGTGAGTTCGAGACCAGGCTGGGCTACATAGTGAGTTCCAGGTCAGTCTGAACTACATAGTGAGACCCTGTCTCAAAAAACCAAAAGAGAAAGGTGTTGCAATTTAGTTATTAAAAAGGCTCCTGTGGCTATAAGCAGTTCACAGGGCAAAGAGGCTCACAAGTTACACGTAGTGTTTCTAGAGGGTTGGAGGTCAGATGACTTCAAAGGTCATCAGGGTATAGAGCATGGCTTTGAGGGGCTGGAGCTTGCAGGTTCAGACATCCTGGGTCGGACACCTGAGGTTTCATGGAGTGGACCTGGTTCCTGGGGTGACCTGTGTGTCTCTGAGCCACTGCCCCCACTTGGTTTAGACGGAGCGGGCCCAGCTGGAGGATGGGCGATTCGTGTACCGCCTGCTGCGCTCGCCCATGTGCGAGTACCTGGTGAATTTCCTGCACAAGCTGCGGCAGCTGCCCGAGCGCTACATGATGAACAGCGTCCTGGAGAACTTCACCATCCTGCAGGTGACCATGGGCTGGGGCCCCTCACCCAGGGGGCTGGTACGCAGTGGGCTCTTTCAGCCAGGAAACCGAGGGCCCCTTAGCATAGGTGCCTCTGATGGGGTGGGCACCGTTCCTGGGAGATGGCAGAGAGGCCTCCTGGGGTCCCCTGGTCTCCTGGCCTCAGCATCTCTGCCTTTCCTGCAGGTGGTGACGAACAGAGACACCCAGGAACTGCTGCTGTGCACCGCCTATGTCTTCGAGGTCTCCACCAGTGAGCGTGGGGCGCAGCATCATATTTACCGCCTGGTCAGGGACTGAGGGGCCCCACTGGCCTGCCCCCGAAACACCCTCCTTACAGGAGGACGCCCCAGCTCTCCATGCTTTCTCATTCGGGGAGGGGCTGTGGTGGAAAAGGGCCGACCTCAGAGGCCTGCGTGACAGGGACTGTCCCCTAGTAGGAAGGGACGCGAGCAGCACATCAGGGATTGGGGACAGGAGTGAACCACACCCAGGACCCCACTCTTCTGGATATTTGGGGGGCCCTAATTATGCATTGACTTGTCCCACTTCCTGCCCTGCAGTATCTGCCTCTTCCCACTACCTGTCCTTGTGATCTGTGATGTCACAAAATGAAAATTAACCCTTTCTGTGCAGGAGCAGAGCCAGGTAGGCCCTGGAAATATTTTTTTTTAATATAACAAGATATTTATACGTGGGTGTTAGGGTTGTGACTCTGTCCCAGCCGGGTGAGGCCCCTGAATCCCACCCCCTTTCTTATATGTAAGCCCGGGACTGGACTGCTGCCTCCCTTTCCCTCCCAAAGCGTGTTGGTTTGTGTTCTGACAGAGGATAAAGTTATTTTACCAAAATACAGGGGATTTATTTGAGGTTTGGGCCAAAAATAATCTTGTGGGAGGTGGTTGGCCATCAGCTCTGTGTGGGGCAGGAAGCCCCAGGTCCCTTGCGGGAGATGGGGACGCCTGGGCAGGCAGACACCTGGGGCCTCAGGGGAATGAGGGGCCGCCCAAAGCTCAGGCAAACTGCGGATGAAACAAATATTTACAGTCCCCGGGGAAGTGCCCGCAGCACTGGAAGGGGTGGAGTCAGGCTCAGCGGTATCTAGCGAGTCGGTCATAGATGTAGTCCAGGTTTCTGCACATGAATATCGAGAGCGTCATGAAGCCCAGCTACGGAGAAAGGAGAACGTCAATCAGAGATGGTGAAGGAGTGGAAGCGAGGTGGGGGGCTGATGGGTTTCCAAGGGAGAATCAGGGAATGGGGTCCAAGGGGAGGAAAGAGGGCTCCTGGAACTCCTACTAAAATGGGTAGGAATCGGGAGTGGTGCCAACTTGTAATCCCAGCACTCTGGGAGGCTGAGGCAGGAGGATTCCAAAGTTAAAAGATGGGCTGGGGGTGTAGTTTAGTGTGAAGGCCCTGGGTTAAATCTCTAGTACTAGGAGAAAGAAAAAAGAGGCGGGCTAGAAGGAGAATCGGGAGAAGCGAGCGACAGAGACCGGCAGGCGAAGTGACAGGACAGGGATGGAGAACGGCGGGGTTGGGTCTGCGGGACCCCTCGAGGGTAAGGAGCGAGGTCGGAAGCAAGCCCAGAGGCCTTTATTCTGGAGCTTCATCTGTCTCCGCCTTCGAACTGTGGGTCTCGGGCTGCTCCTGGTCTGGATCCCACCGCGGCCAGGACTCCAGGGCCATAGGCACCTTGCCCTGCGGCGCCCTGTCACC